CACGGGGCAGGCTCCAGGCGAGCTCCTCCGGAGAGATGAGCAACAGTCCCCTCTGCTGGCAAAGGCCACCCAGAGCCACCCAGAGCTGTCCCCGAGCTCCTTCCAGCCTTGCACCATCCGGGAGCTGGTGGGGCCCCCACATCCCCCGTGTCTGGGAGCAGCGATAACAGGGGTCCCAGCCCCCCTTGGCACGGCAGGGAGCGGGTTTTCCCCCGGGTGCTGCTGAGTCCTGTCTCGGTGCCTGGCTGCTGGTGGTGGGGATGCCCTGGCTTGGGGGTCCCCGAAGGCATCGGCTTCCCAGCTCATCTCCGGCCAGACATCCTGTCTGGCTCCCCAGCCCCGGCTCTGGTTTGGCTCTGGTTTGCCTCTCACAGCCAGGATTGAAATGCCATTAAGCAGCACAGGGAGCGCTGAGGTCGAGCAATTCATCTCCAGGTCCCCAGAGCTCCAGGCAGCGGGGTGATGGAGCCTTGCCATGTGCCTTCATCCTCCTCCTCCTCCTCCTCCTCCTCCTTGTTTTCATAGCACATCCACTCTGGATCCAGCTGTCCCCGCTGCCTGGCTGCTTGGCTTTTCCACCAGCTCCCAATTTCCCCCTCCTGTTGAGTGCCCGTGGGGTGACTGGGTGCCCCAGGGCTGCCCGAGGGCAGCTGGCCCCCAGTATTGGTGTCTGCCGCAAGGCGGCCCTCGGTGCCCGCGGCTATGCCAGGACTTGCCTGGGGATGGAACATTTCCTTCCTCCCTGGCTTCACTCCCCTCTTCCTCCACATGCCTTTGCTTTGGCTTTCCCCATTGTGCCCAGTCCCCTCTCCCCTGGCCAGCACCGGGGCTCGGTGGGACACCCCAAATCCTGCAGCCCAGGGAGGACTCAGGATCCCCAGGGGTGTAGAGGGGTCCCAGCGCCTCCCTGCCTTGGGGAGGCTTGGGGGGCACCCCGGGGTGGGATGTCTGTGCATCCCTTCCTTCTGTGGGGTGCTTGGCGTTGGGAGTCACTTGGGATAGGGAAGTCTGTGTCCCTGGGGGATGCTCGGGGTCAGGACCCCCTGGGATGGGGATGTCTGTGCCCCCCCATCCCCGCAGGGTGCGCAGGGGTGGCCATTTGGTGGCAGTGGAGGTTTGTGGGGATGGCAGGTTTGAAGGTGCTGCAGCCCTGTGGTCCCGGCAGTGCGTGCTGCCCCGGGGTGCAGGCCCAGCGGGGTGCTGGCGAGCTTGGCACGGGGTGCACAGCAGACACTGCTACGTGGCTTTGAGCAGGGCTGGAGGGGGAAGGAGGAGGAGGAGGAAGCACAGCTGGGCATCGGGGCTCTTTCAGCCTCGATGCAGTTGGAGACTGCCTGTGGCCAGGGGCTGCAGTTGTTGGACGGGGTCCCTGTGGGGCCGGGCCCCTTCCCATGCCCTTGGCTGCTGGGGCTGGGCCTGGGGCAATGAGAAGGGCTGAGACATCTCTGGGGCTGCAGGCAGGGATGGGGATTCTCTGATGTCTAATAAGGGTTGTGCCCTGCTGCTGCCTTGCTCCTCTCCCTCCTCCCCTGCCCCTTCCAGGTGCTGGATGTCCTAAGGGCTTTGCCCCAACGATGCTGCCAGCCAGGAGGGACCAGGAGCTGCCCTGGGAAGGGGCAGGCAGAGCAGCAGCGCTAGAAGATTTGCTCTGAGCCCACGAGGAAACCCCAGCCAGGCTGGGAACATTTGTTCCCAATTAGGATGGGGGACGCTCCTTGCTGAGCAGGCACTCCGCGTTTCCTCCAGCCTCAAGCCTTTTGCCACAAAAGTGCCGGGTGCAGGATGTGAACTCATGGGTCAGGTATGGGGGGCAGAGGCTGGGGCAGCCCGTGGGTTTCACCCCTGCCCGTCCCACTGTCCGTCCTGGTGTCCATTCTGGCCCCGCACCGCGATGCAGCTGCCTTGAGGACAGAGCGTTGCGGTGTGCATCGCCCGCTGGACTGCACTGTTAATGAGACCGTCTCCGCCACCCATAATTATTTCCCAGGGCGACGAATGATTAATTCTGCACAGGAGATGCAGCTTTCTGCAAATTCATGCAAGCAATTATCTGGCAGACACCGTGCTGGCCCCCCCGGGCAGAGGATGCTCCACGCCAGAGAAAGTTTGAGTGAGATCTTGTTAAAAAAAGCCCTGACGCTGGCTTGTGGGTGCTGCCCTTCTCCCAAGGGTCTTGGGTCTGCAAATGAGGGTCCCCAGCTGCACCCCAGATCCCACTGGGTGCCCAGGGCACCTAGGTCCCGACAGGTCCCTCCAGGAGCAATCTGCAAGCCATCAAATCTAAAGATGCATTAATTATCCTGGGACCCCGTGACATGGATGCAGGTGGGTAAACTGAGGCACGGCACGTGCTCTCCATGGGACCAAGCTTGGCTGACTGCTGTGCTGGGAGGTCGGGTCTGGCTGCTCCCAGCTCCCTTTTTGGGGCTGGCGAAGCCCCTGGGTCCCTCCAGCCCCCGGACGGTGCCTCCACCCACGTGGGCCCTCACTGCAAAGGGGGTTTTGCATGACAAAGCCTTCGCTTGCTACTGGGACCCCTGCCCGTGGCCCCCTCCCTGTCCAGCTGAAGCTGCCAAATATTAGAAATAACCATCCAAAGGGCATTCCCGTACCATGGCAGGGGGCCGTGGCGGGGCGACCCCCTTCTCCAGCCAGGTCTGGGGGAGCCTGTGCTGGCTGCTCCTCCACTTCTGCTGCATTGGGTTAAATAACGTGCCCGGGTTGAGCATCCTCCTCTCCCCGTGCTCAGCATCTCGTGCTGGGTTTGCCAGCTGCCAGGAGGGAGGGAAGGGGAGGGACGAAGCGCCTGCCAACACGGTAATAATTTTTTTTTCTTAATTAGGGGAAGGAATAAATATAAAAGGAGGAGGGAAGGGGGGAGGGAAAAA